TTACCATGCAATATCTCTTTCTTCCAAAAATAAATAAATAAACACTAACAGAAATGAACTGAATAATTATTAAATAGGCAAATAAATTCTCTTTAAATTCCATAATAAATGCATATAAATTGCATAAACATTATGCATTTACAAATAAATGTCTTCTAAATATTTCTAATTAAATACAGTATAAAAAGTAAACCGTATTTAATTTATCTTCTTCCAAAAATAAATAAATATTTACAATATTTAAAAGAATAATAGCTGAATAGGCAAATAAAGTTCACTTTAATTAAAAAAAAAAAAAAAAATGCACATAAATTACCTATACATACATTTAGGGTTGCATAAAAGAATTATAATTAACAAATCTATATTTGTAGAATTATAATAAGTTATTAATAATGTATTAATATTAATGTAAAAATATTAGATCTATGACGATATAAAAAAGTAAACAAAATTAAACTGGTCTTCTTCCAAAAATAAATAAATACTAACAAAATGTAAAAAAAAAATAATAATAACTAAATAATAGGCAAATAAAGTTAATAATATAAATGCACATAAATTAACTAAACATTATGCATTTAGGCTTGCGAATAAAAGTCTTATTAACAAATCATTATTTGTATAATTATAACATTATAATAAATTATTAATATTAATGACAAAACTATTATTGTATTTATTAAAATCAAAAGAAAATTAAACAATTTAATTTCTTAACAAAAGAAACTCACGGAGTTTGCCCATTTATTTACAATCATATTTTCTCTACCTGTTAAATTTTTCTAAGAAATAGTAATGTTTCTAATATGCAGGGCATTAGTAGCGGTATATAATTGGTTAAAACAACTGTTTAAACTCAACCTTAAATGACATTCATGAGTAAGTTTTACTCATAGACTGTATGAAAACATGGACGTAGTGTCCGTGACGTCACCCGTAGATTTCCGAAGAACGTTTTTGAAGCTCAAAAGTGGGCGGAGCCGGCCGTCGCCATCTTGGCAGCGCTCTTGGTTTTTCTACAGTGAAAGAGGATATTAAACAGAATATATCTTTAGAATAACAAACATGCAGTAGTGAATAATTCCCAGGAATATGAATTTGGAAATTAAATAGAGTTAATTAGTGTTGTAAAAAGTACCGATGTCGGTATCAGTCGGTACTGAAATATTAAAAAATGTGACAATACCAGCATTTCCCGCTCTCACAGGTGTCCGTTTCATCTATTAATGTGTTGTTGTAATTGTCATGCAGCTCCGAACCTGCGTTCAGACAGCGAGAGCGATTTTTCCCCCTCAAACTCTGAGGATGATGATGATGCTGAAGAACACGAGGGGAAGAGAGACGTCCAGACCAAAACACCCAGTAAAAACACGTCCGCTGCTGCGCTCTATAAAACACCCAGTAAGAAGGGCAAGAAAGCAGCAGAGGTGAGAGTCTCATCCTGACCTTTGACCTTCTGACTGACTGGATGAGGGTCCAGATGAGTTTGTGACTAACTAATTGTGAATTAGTGTTTGTTACGCTTAAAACACCTTAGCAACCTGTAAGTCAGTAAGTAAGTAAGTAATATAATAACGATAACTCTAATAACTATTATAATAAATGTAACTATAATGATTACAATAAATATTAAGATAAATGTAATTATAACTAAAGCTGTAATGGTAAAAATAATGATAAATGAAACTTATAAAATGATAACTATAATAATAACAATAACTATAATGACAATTTTAACGATAACTATTATAAACGTAGCTATAATGACAAATTTAACGATTACTGATAAACGTAGCCATAATTACAAATTTAATGATAACTATGATAAATGTAACTATGACAATTTTAACGATAACTGATAAATGTAACTATAATGACAAATTTAAAGATAACTATTATAAACGTAAATATAATGACAAATTTAAAGATAACTGATAAACATAACTATAATGACAAATTTAACGATAACTGATAAACGTAACTATAATGACAATTTTAACGATAACTATGATAAACGTAACTATAATGACAATTTTAACGATAACTATCATAAGCGTAGCTATAATGACAAATTTAACGATAATTATGATAAACGTAGCTATAATGACAAATTCAACGATAACTGATAAACATAACTAATGACAATTTTTACGATAACTATGATAAATGTAGCTGTAATGACAAATTTAACGAAAACTATCATAACTATAATGACAATTTTAACAATAACTATGATAAACGTAACTATAGTGATATATTTAGTGTTAACTATGACAAATGTAACTATAATGACAATTTTAACGATAACTGAAAAAATGTAACTAAAATGACAAATTTAACGTTAACTATGACAAACGTAGCTATAATGACAAATTTAACGATAACTATGATAAACGTAGCCATAATGACAAATTTAACGATAACTATGATAAACGTAACTATAATGACAATTTTAACGATAACTGAAAAAATGTAACTAAAATGACAAATTTAACGTTAACTATGACAAACGTAGCTATAATGACAAATTTAACGATAACTATGATAAACGTAGCCATAATGACAATTTTAACGATAATTATGATAAACGTAGCTATAATAACAAATTTAACAATAACTGATAAAGGCAACCATAATGATAAACATAAAGGTAAAACAACCTACAAGTTGTAAATAAAACAAAAATTATTGAAGTTTCTAACTTTATAATTTCATATTTCATTCAGTGTTACTTGCAATTTCTTTGTAATTATTTTTAAAAGTTACTAGCGACAACTTTTTTTTCAGCACAGAATCACTGCAGCAAGTTTTGCATTTCCATTGTTTTTAACTTCAGAAATATCAAGTCTAGCTCTGAAAGTTTCTCTTGTTGTGTGGTTGTTCTCCTGCAGTCTGATCTGGTGGAGGAGTATTTTGAAGCTCACATCAGCTCTAAGGTTCTCACGTCCGATCGGACCCTCCAGAAACTCCAGACGCCCAAACTGGACCGGGTCAGTGATCTTCATCTGTCTGTGATTGTGGGATCTATGTGAGATCTAACGGAGGTGTTTGATTGTGTTTTATAGGAAACTCTGCTCAGCCTCTTGGGTAAAAACCCGCCGTGCTTCGCAGAGGAAATTAAACAGCTCAACGCAAAACACGAGAAGAACTTCAACCAGTGGAAGCTGCAGCTGCAGTTGAGTGTGTGTGTGAGAGAGAGTGTGTGTGTGTGTGTGTGTGTGTGTGTGAGTGTGAGGATGATGAAGATGCACATATTCATCTTGTGTTTCTCTGTTCATGAATATTTCAGCATGGGCTTTAACATCTTGATCTACGGTTTGGGCTCCAAGAAGCTCTTGCTGGAGAAGTTCCGCACATCCATGCTGTCTGACTACGATCATGTGGTGGTCAACGGCTTCTTCCCCAGTATGACCCTCAAATCGGTTCGTTCGCTGCTTCTGTGTTTCTCTCAGCCACACATAAAACATTATGTTATGCAACAACAATGTTTTGCACAATGTTCTTCATACAGTAAAAGTGTCATGTGACATAACAGCAGTCAACATGACTGTGATATCGACTAATATAACAAACTCAGTGTGAATGTTTCAGTTTGTTCACTGTCTAAAGTCCTGTTCATACCAAGAACAATAACTAATATATAACAATAACTTAACAATAAATAACTGTAACAACATTTATAAAGACAAATGTAATGAGAACTGTAGTGGTAACTAAAAATATGATTAATGGTAAGTGTAATAGTAACAATAGCTATAAAAATATATATAAAGATGACTATTATGATAAATATAACAATAATTCTAAATATAATAATAATAACGTTAACAATAACAAAACTGTAATGCTAACAGTAACAAAAATATAATGGTAACTGTACTAATAATGATAAATGATAAAGATAATAGTAACTGTACTAATAATTAATAACTAAAGATAACTATAACAATAAATATAATGATAATGATAGCAATAACAATATCGATAAATGTAATCAGTGATAACTAACAATAAATGTAATAATGATAAATGTGCTAATAACTATAATGATATATATATATATATATATATATATATAGATATATATATAATATCATAACTATAGTGAATAACATAACAAGTGTAACATTAACTACAATAATAACTGATAACTGTAACAATAGTTATAATGATAACTATAACAGTAAATATGATAACTGTAACTATAATGATAACTAACACCTATAACAATAACTATACCGATTATAACGATAAATAATAATTATAACGATAAATATCATGATAACTGTAACTATAATGATAACTAACACCTATAACTATAACGATAAATATAATAACTAACTATAACGATAACTAACAACTATAATGATAACTATAATAACTAACGATAAATATAACAATAACTATAATTAAAAACTATAACGATAACTATAATAACTATAACGATAAATATAATAACTAACTATAACGATAACTAACGATAAATATAACAATAACTATAATGATAATTTAAAACTATAACTAACTATAATAACTATAACGATAAATATCATCATAATAACTAACTATAACGATAACTAACAACTATAATGATAACTATAATAACTAACGATAAATATAACAATAACTGTAACTATAATGATAACTAAAAACTATAATGATAACTATAATAACTATAGCGATAAATATCACGATAACTGTAACTATAACGATAACTAAAAACCATAACAATAACTATAGCGATAAATATCACGATAACTGTAACTTGTACGATAACTATAGCGATAAATATCACGATAACTGTAACTGTAACGATAACTATAGCGATAAATATTGCGATAACTGTAACTGTAACGATAACTAAAAACCATAACGATAACTATAGCAATAAATATCACGATAACTGTAACTATAAAGATAACTAAAAACCATAACGATAAATATCACGATAACTGTAACTATAACGATAACTAAAAACCATAACAATAACTATAGCGATAAATATCACGATAACTGTAACTTGTAACGATAACTATAGCGATAAATATTGCGATAACTGTAACTGTAACGATAACTAAAAACCATAACGATAACTATAGCAATAAATATCACGATAACTGTAACTGTAACGATAACTATAGCGATAAATATCACGATAACTGTAACTGTAACGATAACTATAGCGATAAATATCACGATAACTGTAACTGTAACGATAACTATAGCGATAAATATTGCGATAACTGTAACTGTAACGATAACTAAAAACCATAACGATAACTATAGCAATAAATATCACGATAACTGTAACTATAACGATAACTAAAAACCATAACGATAAATATCACGATAACTGTAACTATAACGATAACTAAAAACCATAACAATAACTATAGCGATAAATATCACGATAACTGTAACTGTAACGATAACTATAGCGATAAATATCACGATAACTGTAACTAACGATAACTAAAAACCATAACGATAACTATAGCAATAAATATCACGATAACTGTAACTATAACGATAACTAAAAACATAACGATAAATATCACGATAACTGTAACTATAACGATAACTAAAAACCATAACAATAACTATAGCGATAAATATCACGATAACTGTAACTGTAACGATAACTATAGCGATAAATATCACGATAACTGTAACTGTAACGATAACTATAGCGATAAATATCACGATAACTGTAACTGTAACGATAACTATAGCGATAAATATCACGATAACTGTAACTGTAACGATAACTATATAAGCGTCCTCAGCAGCAGATGATAGCGTTCGGTTTATTCTAAGCAGTTTTGTTGTCTGCCGCTTTAAATCCTTGATAACAGCTGTGATCCGACTGATGTCGTCTGAATCCTCCTGTAATCGATCAGGTCCTGAATTTATTCATCTATTTATTTTATTTAGGTTAATGTATATTATATATGTATATACTTCTTTATTCATATTTATATATTTATTTATTGATAACTTTTGTTTAGTTATCTATTTATATTTTTGTATTTATTTGTTTGTATTTTTTATTCATTGATATTTATATTTGTATTTATCTATTGATGTTTATTTTTATTTTCTATATTACTAAGTGTTATACAAATACATTTGCCAGACACTTTTATCAGTGTTTGTGTCTCGTGTGTGTGTGATTTTCAGGGGAATCTTCAGATTACTGGCAGAGTTTCAGCTGGAGAACAAGGACAATCCTGCGTACACCGGTTAAACATCCGCCGCTGACACTCAGTGCATTAACAAGGAAGCTCCTGCTAATATTACAATGGGTTGTTGTTGTTTGTTCAGGATTGTCTTTCCAGGATTTCTACCAGCGCTGTCGCGAGTCGTTCCTGGTGAACAGTGACATCACGCTGCGCACGCAGCTCACCGAGTTCAGAGACCATAAACTCATCCGCACCAAGAAGGTCAGAACTCGCCTGAACTCACTTCACACGTGCAGAATAACTGAAGCCATTGTTTACCAGCGTTATTTGTGTTCCAGGGCGCTGACGGAGTGGAATATCTGCTGATCCCGGTGGATAACGGCACTCTGACAGACTTCCTGGAGAAAAACGAGGTGGAGTAAAACCGGTGTTTAGCTGAATAGCACTGGATCTTTCTGATAAATAACCTGCCAACATTGTATCATCAATGATTTGATTTTGTGGTTCATGTTCAAGAGAAACATGGCAGGTTTGACGGAAAGAGAGACACTTTGTGTGGTTGCAGGGTTAAACGGCACTTAAAGCAATAAGCTCTGCACCCTCAGTTCATCTGAGTTTGTTTCTTCGTCAGATTTGTAGAAATGTAGCATTGCATCAGTGTCTCACTGCAAGTGAATGAGTGCCGTCAGAATGAGAGTCCAAACAGCTGATAAAAACATCACAATAATCCACAAGTAATCCACAGCACTCCAGTCCATCAGTTAACATCTGGAGAAGACAAAAGCTGAAACAAATCCAGCATTAAGACCTTTTTAATTAAAACACATAAAGTCCATAATCCATAATAACACTTCCTGCAGTGAAAAAGTGCATCTGCTGTTGTCTCTCACATCAAAATCCAGCCACATATTAGTTTAGAGCTGTTTAAACACTGCTTGATCTGTGCAGATTTCTCTCCTGATTCACACCAGAACACTTTTTCACTGGAGGAAGAGTTATTATGGATTATGGACTCTATGTATTTTAGTTAAAAACGTCTTAATGCTGGATTAGTTTCAGCTTTTGTCTTCTCCAGATGTTAACTGATGGACTGGAGTGCTGTGGATTACTTGTGGATTATTGTGATGTTTTTATCAGCTGTTTGGACTCTCATTCTGACGGCACCCATTCACTTGCAGTGAGACACTGATGCAATGCTACATTTCTACAAACCTGATGAAGAAACAAACTCATCCTGATCTTTCAGCACATTGTCATTTTTGGGTGAACTGTTCCTTTAATTCCTGTTTCTGCAGTTCAATCGTGTACAGTATTCTGTCAAGTTTTGTAGCATCACAATGGAAATACAATAAATATTCTTGCACATCTTGAGTTTATTTCCATAGAAAAATACATTCTCATATATACTATTTCAACACAAGTTCAGTTCAGATCCACAGGTCAAACGCAGCGGAAACTAAGGCCAGATCTTACTTGGTTTCCTCCATGCTGTAGTTCAGAGGATCCGCCTCCGAGTCGGCTTCTGTGAGGCCATTGGTTGAGCTGGTGGGGGCGGGGCCTGGAGGGGAACAAGCTCCTCCCCTTCCTTCAGTGCTTGTGTGAGCTCCTCCTCTGTAACCACTGACAGAACAAACTCATAAATATTCATATCTGTAAGCTACTCATAAGGTATTGCATGACGTCACATTAAAAGTTCAGAATATAACGTTAAATGCTGATAAACTGACACCTGTGGTTATATCCATTATTTTAAAAACGGTTACAGACGAATGAACTAACAGTTCTTCGTGGAAGAATTATTCCAATTACATATAATATATACACTCACACACACACACTCTCACACACACACACACACACTGACACACACACTCGCACGCACTCACACACACACACACACACTCACACTCACACACACACACACAATAAATGTTAACTGAAATAAAATAAAATAAAAATAAAAGTTTACATTTTGTATATTTTATTTTATTTCAGCTAGTTGCAAAGGCAACATTTCTCATTTTTGTTTACTTTAACTTTTAAGTACTAAAATAACAAACTAAATAAACTCAAAAATTTATAGAAAATATATGGATATATATTAATAAAACTGATAAAAACACTACAAAATTACTCAAACTGGGAAATTATAGTGAAAACAAAACATTAAAAAACAAATATTAAAATTAAAATAGTATCAAATAGTTGATTATATGAAAATAGCACTGATATATATTACAAAATGTTATATTTTATAAATATATTTTATATATGTTATACTGTTACATGTGACCCTGCAGCACAAAAGCAGTCTTAAGTCGCTGGGGTATATTTGTAGCAATAGCCAACAATACATTGTATGGGTCAAAATTATTGATTTATCTTTTATGCCAAAAATCATTAGGATATTAAGTAAAGATCATGTTCCATGAAGATATTTTGTAAATTTATCAAAACTTAATTTTTGTTTAGTAATATGCATTGCTAAGAACTTCATTTGGACAACTTTAAAGATGATTTTCTCAATATTTAGATTTTTTTGCACCCTCAGATTCCAGATTTTCAAATATTGTCCTATCCTAACAAACCATACATCAATGGAAAGATTAGTTATTTTAAAAAATTGACACTTAAGACTGGTTTTGTGCTGCAGGGTCACATACGTCAATCTTCATATTTCGATGGCTGTGCACGTTGAAAGATGAAATGTGTTTCTGAAAGATCTTGAGGTTGATTTTCTGTGTTGTGGACACAATCTTTTGTGCAAATGTTGTTTGGCTGTTGTTTGAACGGCTGTGGTGTTTGTGTTTAAGAGTCTTTCTCTCTGTGATTATTTGTCTGTTGTTTGGACTGAATTATTGTGCGTCTCCTCTGATCGAAATGCTGCCCATTTTTACCCTGATATCATGTTTACAGATGAATATATACACTTTTAAAGACGTGCTTCAGTGATTAAACCTGACCAAATAAAAACAGATATTTTCTGCTGATTAACCAAAGCATTGTGTGGTGTGCGTACTCTATTGTTTTGTTTTTAATGTGAACTATTTTGCTGGAGCAGCATAAATTCATTGAGACAAAATATTAACAAATTATTTTATCAATTTAAAATATTTATTTGTACATTATAAATGTAATATTATATATGTTACATAAGTATATATATATATTTTATAATATAATATTAGTTATTACTATTATATTATATAAATACTAATATTAGTATACTATACTAGTAATACTACTCATAATAGTAATATAACAATATATAATATTTAAGTGTAATGCCACTAATTATATATATATGCATACAGTTTAAACTTACATTTATTATTATTATTATTAATGATGATTTTTACTGAAGCTACATAAATTCATAGAGACAACATATAAATATTTTATTAATTATAAATAATTTTTTTTATATTATGATATTAAAAATATTGTCTTTATTTTATAAAATAATATTTTTTAAATATAAATATTACAATATATAAGTTTAACACCATTATATAATTATGCATGCATACAATTAAGTTAAATTATTATTATTTTTATTATTATTTGTAATCGTGCTTTTACTGAGGCATGAGAGAAAACAAGCCTACAATTATTTTGGTTATTAATTATAATTAGATTAATTATAAATGATTTATTTGACACATAATAATACATTACATGTAATCCGTTACTACCCAGCTCTGTTAATAGTTAGTGATGTGGTTATTGGGTAGGATTAGGGGTGCAGAATAAATGCTTTGTATGTACTAATAAACAGCCAATATGTTAGTAATATGCATGTTAATGAGCAACTAGTTAAGAGTGAGAACTGGTTCCTATAATGACGTGTTACCAGAATTTTGGTGTTTAATGATGTCGGCATTAGATCAGTGTAAGATATCTAAGCTCGTTTATACCACGGAATTAAAAAAAATCAAAGTTAATTGCGACTTTTTATCTCAAAAATGGAGTTTTTCCTCGCAATTCTGAGTTTATATCTCAAATATCAGACTTTTTTCTTGCTATTTTCAGAGTTGCGAGATATTAACAGAATTGCTGATGTTGACTCGCAATTGTGTTATTGTTTATAATAACTATTGAAGTTTGTTTCTGCCACGGAATAAAAAAAGGGTTACACTTTACAATAAGGACCTTGGTTTCTCATAGCCTGAACTATGAGATATAAACAGGTTGTGAGTTTATAACTATGGATGTTTGTTTTCGCCATTGAAGAAAAAAAAAAAAGTTAATTGCAACTCAATCTCTCAATTTGGACACTTTTTCTCAATTGAGAAATTTGACTTTTTTTCCCCTCACAATTCCATTATAGCTTTGGAAGCTTATTTCTGTCATGGAATTAAACTAATAAAAGTAATTATGATTCTCTCTCACAATTCAGATTTCCCCCCTTTCAATTCAGTTTATATATTACAATTATGAGAACAAAAGAAAGTCAGAATTTAAACGGGCTGTCGGGAGATTCGTGACTGAATTGCGCTTTAAACTGTTTTAATGAATGAATTTGATGCTTTAGTCGCTTCAAATAATTTAGTTTGGGGAGTGATTCTGTTAAACTTACTGTTGACTACATATTTTCCCTCAATAAACTCCTAATGTGCTGCTTATTAATAAGCAAATTGTAGTCCGTTATTGATTCCAAATTACGTGAAAAAAAATGTAGTTAGTAACGCGATCCGTTACTTTACACGGTTCAGGTAATGTAATCGGATTACTTTCAGATTACTTTTGACCTACCTCGTTTATCACATTGATATAAATAGTATAATCTTGTACCATATTGATATAAAAATACAAAAAATAAGAAAATATATTACATTTGTTGAAATTAACAACATAAGGTGCATTAAACATTACGTTACATCAAGGTTTCCCAAACTAATTAAAAATGCAAAATTAAAATCATTTTAAGATCAATAAAAATAAAACATACTAAAAAAAAAGCACTTTTATTTGTTTACCTGCATGTCATGTGACCATTAACCAACGTCAGAGAACCGCGAACATGCAAATGTGATACTTTATTATTAAAATACTTATTTTACAAGTAAATATATTCGGTGAAAGCGGATCAGATGACACAAAAGTTTGTGAATTTGTGCATTTTAATGTGTTTGAAAGACAAAAGCCTTCGAAAGACATAGAAATAGATGGTTAAATAACCCACTGAGTGATAATTCGGATAAAAATTAATGTTCATCGGTAGTTAATGCGATGTTGAAATGATTTTTGTCACAAAACTGAAGACTTTCTGAGTGTATATAAGCGGTAGGATATCTCAGAAAGGAACATTTAAAAGATGAATTAGGGAGAATTGATCAATTATGAATAATTTATTGCTAATATGTGAATATGTAATCCATAAAGTAACTGTAGTCTGATTATGAGTATTTTAAAATGTAATTTAATCTAATTACAAGTACTTAATTTTTGGAATCTGATTAC